CTTATGGGCAGCACAGTGGCTAAATGGTTAGCACTTCCGCCTGGCAGTACTAGGTCCGTTGGTTCGAATCCCAACCACGGCACCACCTGCCTGGAGTTTGCATGTTCTCCCTGTGCCTGCGTGGGTATCCTCCGAGTACTCCGGTTTCCTCCCACACATTTCAAAGACATGCTGATAGGTTAATTGGATCCTGTCTAAAATTGGCTCTAGTATGTGTATGTATGAATGTGAGTTAGGGACCTTAGATTGTACGCCCCTTGAGGGTTAGGGACTGATGTGAATATACGATATATATATATGTAAAAGCGCTGTGTAAATTGACGGCGCTATATAAGTACCCTGTTATAAAATAAATAAATACATTCTTTAACCCACACTTGTCATAGAACACATTGGTAAATATAAAACTTCTCCTCACACAGATCTTTCCTTATGGAGGTCAACTGTGGCTTATCACTATGGATGCATAACGATAGACCAATTGTATTTGTCCCCGGGCTTTGAACAACAATCACTGCTGACTAGTGAAAGCTCAAGGGCTTGGGTGCATACATCAGGGGAAATCAGCTTTGGGTTTTTACATATAATTTCGGAGACATATGTATTTTGAGATCATGTAACTACAATATGGGCAGACGTGAAGAGGATAAGAGAATTACTATGGGCAATAGGTTTTATCCTTCAGCTGCACGCTTGCTGAATTACTGATCAGAGAAGCCTTAAGCTGTATTAAACCCTGGAGCAAAAATGTATTATGTTACAGCTTACCAGTCGTTAGATATGATGGCTGCATTAGTTTTCTTTTTAGGCTATCTTTCTTCTATTTTCATCTAATGATCTGGCTAGTAAAGCCAGCCATAAATGGGTCAAAATTCAGCCGGTTCAGCAGGAACTAATGCAGTAACCACATCTAATGTAAGCTGCAAGATATTACATGTTTGATTTTAGGTTTAGTACCCCTTTAAGCAGGCCAAACACTAGTAGACGTTTGTTTGAAATTTCTTGTTTTAAGAACGTATGTTAATTTTTCTAATCCTTTGTGGGATCAAATCAATCGCATTGATGAAAGAATTTGAAGGAGCGGGATAGATATTGTTTCTCAAACAAATTAATTTCTAACAGTGTATGTGGTGTTCATTTGGAAAAGTCTGTTATTTCCAAATTCAAATGTTAAAAGCAAGTGAAATTGTCAAGTCATCAGATATACTGAGAATTTTTAAGTGAATGCTCATATGAATGTTTGATCAAAAGTTTGTTTGAAAATCTACTATTTTGCTTTAGACCAGGCAAAAAGGCTCAATTCACATTTGAAAGAAAATAGCCTGTGCAGCCAAAGGGGCCAACGTGGCAATAAAAAACTGTGCAGCTTTTAACAATTCTGAATAATGTAAATGCAATAACTGTAGGGCATTTATGCTCCAACCCCCAGAAGCCTGGCTGAAAAACTGTAGTAGCTATCTGTGCTCAGTCCTTTCCTGTTGCTACAACACTGGCCATTGGAAGGCTTGCTCGTCACTGGTGTGAGCATGCTTCCTCTCTTGAATCCCTGCTCTTGCACAGTTCTGCATAGGCAATTTTCTTTAAAAGGTGGACTTGACCTTTAAATCTAGATAACCCAAACTGAAAGTAATGTAATTCTTTCTTGTCAGAGCTTATTTGTTTATTTTATGTTGACATAATAGTCAGTGCTTTAAAAAAAAAAAAAAAAAAGCACATCTTTTTTGTCACTGAAACAGCATCAGATCTAATTTCCCAACCACTCTCATGCAAGTTCAAATATAACCATCCATTGCTGTGTCAAGTTTTATTTCTAAGTCAACTACCCATCTTGGGGGTGGGGGGATGTTGCCAGAACAGGCATGTGAACAGATGTGATTCACGGGGCTCCCCTCTCTGATCCTTTCAATTGATCCTTTCACCGGTGGTAACACCGTTCTCACCCATTCCTGTTCCTTAACCCTACTGGATGCTCCCTTCAACCTTTTTACCATCACCCGATGCCTCTATAACTAGAACGAAGAGGGAGGAGCTGGCGGGCTGCCGAGCTCCAAAATGGTGCCCAGCAGCCCCTTCCACAGCGAGCCTCCAGGACAGCGGACAAGGCCAAAGACACCATGGGCAAAGTGAGTAAATCCACCCTGCTGGGAAAGAGATGCCGTGAAAGAGAAGACATGCTTTACTATACCCAGAAGCTGCTGTGCTTCTCTGAACAGACAATCCCTGATGCACATGCCTCAGCATTGCTGGATCCCCCTACCCCCCCCTCTTAGACCAGGCCACGGTCCCAGACTCTGCTGCTGACATGTCTGAGAGGGACCATATGCAGTCAGATGATCCTGAATGACCCACTCTGGGTGCAATACTCCATGCTGAACAGAACTGCACAGCTTCTGTACATGCTCTACGTGACCAATTTGGGGGATTGAAGGAGGAAATTTCTCTTATCAGACAAGATCTGCAAAAACCCCAGGAGAGGATGACAGCTGTGGAGAGTCGGATCAACGATGTGGACGACCGGCTTTTTCCTTTGACCCAAGACATGCGTTCTGCTATCCTGGTGGCAAGAGCCAATAAGGATTTTGAAAATTGACTACGCCGCAGTAACATCAGAATGTAATGCAATCAGAAGGCTGAGACCCCACGGATTTTGTTGAAAGATGGCTACTGGAGCTCTTTGGTGAGGACTCCTTTGCTCCTCTCTTTGCCATAGAAAGAGCTCACCGGGTCCCAACACGCCTGTTGCCCCCAGGAAATCCACCCAGACCTCTGCTGGCACGCCTTCTGAATTATCGGGATAGGGAGATTGTATTCTGCCTGGCTACAAACCAGCCTAACATACAGTACAACGGGGTGAGGGTATCATTTTACCCTGATTATTCTGCGGAGGTGCAGCGCAAAAAGAGAGCAATTCCAGGACATCAAGAAGCGGCTATAACAGTTATCCTATGCTGTGCTTTACCCTGCTCATCTACAAATCACAGCTGGAGGTCGAGTACATTTCTTCGAAACACCTCGCAATGCCACTGATTGGCTTGATGCCAACAAAGCCGATCTCCGAGCAAGACCTCGCCACGCACCTGAGGACTGACTCTTCTTGCTTAGTACCTGTTCTGACTTCATCTTCTCTGGCTAGACTGCCAAAGAACTGTTATACTGCCGGAGTAATAGCATCATCTCCCTGTTGCTGTATCAGCTCTGATGCCATACCAATAGCCTCTAAGCAGCTATGCCATATCTTCCCACCTCAATGTGGTCTTCTCATGAGAAGTCCACCTATAAGGGATTCACCTGGTCCCTTAACTGGGACTCGATTGTCAGTTGGCCTCAGGGCCCCTTTTGCTTACTCCCGGTTGGGAATCGTTTTTTGAAGCATCGTTGTGTCTTGCTCTGGCTATCAGCTCAGATTGTGTACCACCTTGTCATCACCTCCATGGCAGAGCACAAGCGATTTTTTTCAAAAGCAGCGTTCTACAAGGAGGGTGAACAAACCAGCCATCTGTTGGCCAAAATTGCCCATACACAAACTATTTCCTGGACAATTGGGGCTATGGCAATGAAATCTGGGACCCTGGTTAACTTCCCAGGAACTTATTACGGCAGCCCTGGTCCAGTTTTATACAAATCTGTATCAGTCTAAGTTTTTCCCCCTCTGAGACGAGTCTACAGCAATACCTGAGTTCCGTAGAGCTGCCTACCGTCTAGCCTTCTCAGAAGGCCTTTAAGATTCCCCTATTACGCTAGAGGAACTGCAGAAGGCGACCAGCTCCTTTCCTACGTATAAGGTTCCTGGAGCGGATGGTCTACCCATAGAGGTGTATAAGAAATATGTGGATGTCCTTCTCCTGCATTTACTGCAGGTGTTCAATGCCTCATTGGATATGGGGACCCTTCTTCCTTTTATGTCGGTGGCCAATAGGCCAATATCATCCTGCTGTTGAAACCTGGCAAACCCTCTACTGTCCCGGGCTCATACAACCTATTTCTCTGCTACAAACTGATGTCAAAATCTTAGCCAAGGTCCTAGCGAAGAGATTGAACAAAGTAATTGTTAGCATAATCCATTCAGACCAATCAGGCTTTATGCCACATAAATCCTATAAATCTGAGACATCTGTTTATTAATATTCAAACCCCTGCGGATAATATGGGTGGCCGCTCATTACTGACCCTAGATGCCACAAAGGCATCTGATAGCATCGAATGGCCGTACCTTTGGAACACCCTCAAACATCTTGGTTTTGGGGATACATTTATTTCCTGGGTGCGACCTCTTTATAATGCCCCAAGTGCAGTTATCAGGGAGGGGGGTAGGGTTTCAAAACCATTTCAATTGGAGAGGGACACTAGACAGGGGCGCCCGTTGTCTCCCCTCCTCTTTGCCCTCTCTATTGAACCATTGGTAGCTCTCATTAGATCTGCGGAAGGCATCACGGTGTTTCGCTATGGTCCCACACGTGAAAAAATAATCCTTTATACTGATGACACGCTCCTCTTACTGGGTGACACTGCACCCTCCTTATGCACTGCCATGTCTCTTAGCTCTACTCTTGGCTCCTACTCTGGCCTTACTATAAACTAGTATAAATCCGCCCTACTGCCATTAGAGTATTTATCACCTTGTCCCCTACTGATTATGTAAACTAAATGTATTATCTTTGCTAATTAAATTGTTACTAAACCAAGAACCGTAAAATCAGTCTGTACAGTATATGCAGCAAAGCATGCTTGTTATTCTCACTGTGGAACCTAAGAGGTTAATCTTCTGCACTGTGTAAAAAATGCTGTTTGATCCTGACTTCTCTGCCCCTCCACTTGTTCAAATGTTCATTTATCAGATCTAAAATTGGGAACCAAATTGTTTCAATGATGCTACACAAGATTTTAATAAAGTAGGCATCATGCAAACTAGTGGAGGGTTTGAGACACAGATCTGGTCATTTTGTTAGTGTGCTCTATGATTACATACTTGTTATCACAATAATTTTTCTGATTTGTTTTAGATGAGCAAGTTGTTATGGGAAACAAGCTTCTTGTGTATATTAGGTAAGTAATGTTCCTTAAGGAGAACCTGTTGCCAGACCATTCATTTCCACAGCTTTCTTGCCGTGAGTTTATATGTGCATGTGACATATTTTATGCATGTTATTTACTTGTAAAAAGCATCCTTTGTGTTCAGAAGACCTGAGACTACTACTGAGCACAGCCATCTTGGTTGTGATATCAGCAGCCCCAACAGACTCAAGTGACACTTTATAGTATTCTTGTTTTCTCTTCCCTCTATATATGTAGTTATGTAGATGAAGGGTGGAGTGGAGAGCTGGGCCAACACAGAGAGTAATTAGTCACTGCCAAAGGAGGAGAGGGCTATTATGTGCAAGGAAGGAGTGGGCTATGCTAGGGAATTGACTAGTCAATTTCTCCAGCAAGCGCAGAGGCACATTGCAAGTGAATAAAAAGACATTTACAGAAAAGAAAAACTCGTTAAATGAGCATTTACATTTTTTTATTTGCATTTACCTGAATATCCTTGTCACAGCATCAAGCCAACCATTTGATCATTCGTCTCAGATTAAAGGATAAGTTCACCTTTGGTAATATGTTGCATGTTCCACCCGTTTTTAGGCATACGTCTAAATCTCCCTTGCCGCTGAAGCCCGATCTGTGTTAGGGTCGCGCTCCAGAGTCTACTGACAGGCGGTGAGAAAGCATTTCAACGCCTCCTCACCACCTGTTTTAACACCATTTTGGGCAAAAAAATTTGTTTAAAAAAAAAAAAGAACATTTTTACATTGCACACAGTTGCGGGGCCTTTGTGGCACTTCCTTATTGACTTGAATGTATAGCGTTCGGAAGGCGGCATTACTACAAGTCCGGTCAACTTTGCCGCAAAGCATCATGGCCTCAGAATGTAAACACCCCCATCACCGCTTATTGCAGCGTATGAAGAGTGGTTGGCGGGCATGCACCTACACCCGCATGCATGTCAGATCTGTCCTTGCAGCTGCTGCATCCCAATTGACTTGAATGGGACTGCCTGCACAGGGATGCACAGAACACGTGTGCATCCCCTTGTGGGTAAAAACGTCTCTCCATGGGCACACGCTTTAGTGCACCCCATGTGAGCAAGGCCTTAGTAGGAATTAGCAGGAAATTTGTAAGTTATGTTGTGTTTGTGTGTATAAAAAAGTATGTTAGTGTTTTTTTAATGTATAAATGTGTGAGTTAGCGAGCGCACCATATAAAGCTGCTAATGCACAAAAAGGAACCACAAAACCTTTCTAGGAATATAACATAAAAATGGGGTGTGCAGCGCTATACAGATAAACACACTGTCATAAATATGACAAAAAGTAGAAAAGGTCCTATAAACTGAATGGTAAACAGTCCGAGGTAATATGATATCAATCCAAATAGGTATATTCCAGTGATGGAGTATATATGACTTCAATCCAAATGGGTATATTCCAGCATCCTAACATGAAGGTGTAGAAAAATTGCCCACTCACCGGAAGTGCAATTTAATGTGCACATAGAAATTCCATGTAGCCGGAGGTCCCGTGAAGGTACAGCCTGATGATAAAGGTATCCTCTGGTGGTTAATGAGGTGACGGCTGCCAGGGATGATGGTCTGGACCTATTTCCCAACTCCTCCAGCCTGGGCGGACTCCTGGAAAGCTGGGCTGAGATGTGGAGGCTCAGTGCCAGGTAATAGAGATGAAACCGCTCATGGTGTAGTAATGTAAAATTTATTTATTCAGGTATAAATCATTATGGTAAAAAGTAAGCGTACAGGGTGATAGTAACCTATACAAATATAATGTTAATGAGCTCTTGAATGCACTGACCAGTGGATAAATATGATGGCCACCGGACCTCCTGATCCGGTGGCGTGACGTCAAGGCGTGCAGAGGCTCCACTGGTCAGTGCATTCAAGATTTCATTAACATTATATTTGTATAGGTTACTATCACCCTGTACGCTTACTTTTTACCATAATGATTTATACCTGAATAAATAAATTTTACATTACTACACCATGAGCGTTTTCATCTCTATTACCTGGCACTGAGCCTCCACATCTCAGCCCAGCTTTCCAGGAGTCCACCCAGGCTGGAGGATTTGGGAAATAGGTCCAGACCATCATCCCTGGCAGCCATCACCTCATTAACCACCAGAGGATACCTTTATCATCAGGCTGTACCTTCACGGGACCTCCGGCTACATGGAATTTCTATGTGCACATTAAATTGCACTTCCGGTGAGTGGGCAATTTTTCTACACCTTCATGTTAGGATGCTGGAATATACCCATTTGGATTGAAGTCATATATACTCCATCACTGGACTATACCTATTTGGATTGATATCATATTACCTCGGACTGTTTACCATTCAGTTTATAGGACCTTTTCTACTTTTTGTCATATTTATGACAGTGTGTTTATCTGTATAGCGCTGCGCACCCCATTTTTATGTTTTTTTAATGGCAAAAATCAGTAGCACCTTCTTTTTATTCTACTGGTCGTGTTCTTTCAGAAATTATATGGTTTGGGGGGTCTTTTACAAAAGTGGAAAATAAAAACATCCAGATTTTTAAAGAAATTAGATTTTTTACAGTTTTGCGTATGTACGATTTTCTCCATTTCGCAAAAAGGTGCAAGTTAAATTGTGCAAATATTTGTTATTTATTGACTCAATACAGGTTAACATTTTATACTTGGTAGAAATTTAGCAGGAATTTGTAAAGTTTGCTGTGTTTGTATCTGCTAATAATGATTTTAGTGTATTTATAGCAAAAATATTGTTTTGATAAACATTTGTGCAAAAATTGCAGGACCTTTAAAATTAGTAGCACCTTCTTCTTATTCTACAGGTCATGTGCTTTCCGAAAATACATTGGGGGGTCTTTTACAAACTCTGAAAGCTATAAGGGAAAAATGAAAATCTCCTGATTTTCAGAGAAATTTGGCCATTTACAGTTTTGCGTACATTTGATTTTCACATGGTTTGGGGGGTCATTTACAAGCCATGAGGGAAAAATAAAGAAGCAATGGAATAATTGCAAAAATAGTCTGGCCACCTGAGTTTAAAAGTGGAGTGCAGGGCCTGGCAGCAAAAGGGTTAAAAAAAAAAAAACATGCACACTTTGGGATATATTTATCAAAAATTGCAGAATTGTTCATCCTGCGGAACTGTATGTACAGTCTTTCTGTGTAAATGAGGGCAAAATCGAATGTTACTAGGCTCTTTTCTCTCCAGGTTGAATGCTATTTATTCATAAAAATAGAGAAAATCAGAGAAATACGGAATTATGGCCACTAGATTGAGTTAATGATCACGGTAAAACAGGTATTTGTCTAATGAGAAAGCCCAGAATTCTCTGTATCATAAGATAATGAAAGAAATCTGAATAAAATGTTTGTTATACAGATTTTATGCAAGTAATAAGTAACATAAAAGATAAGTTTATAATGTTATAAACATTTTCTAAATAAAACTGGCCAAAACCATTTTAGTTTCCCTTTTAAGCAATAAGATTAAGTCCCAATACCCTCATGTTTTGCATTGTATTGGTATTGTTCTGTCACATGTTCTGTCCCCCTTTGTAATGTACAGCGCTGAGCGAACTATTGGCGCTTTATAAATACTGTATTATAATAATAATAATAATAAGATGTGGAAAAAAAAATAACGGGCAACAGCAACATTTTGTTCATGTCTTACAGTGCAGGTAATACATTTCTTTTGTTGATTACTGCTTGAGGCTTTGACCTACAGCATATTCTTTTGTAAACATGGGATTTTTCTCATATACTATCACGTTTCTCAGAAGCAATCTTAATTTAGTGTGTGTGTGACTGCTACAAGATATTTGGTTCTTTTCTAAGCACAAAAGAATACATCTGTGTGATCTTCACTGAAAAAGGAGCACAAATCCTGCATAGAATTTACTAAAGGTGACTTCTTTCAGGATCCAATGCAGTGATTTCTAATATTAGCATGTGCTGAACTCAGATTTTCCAACTTGCTGGAAATGTCTGTGTACCACCATTTTATTCTGGAGATAAAAAAAATCAAATAGACACTTACTCATCTGACAACTTGCATGGAGGTTCAAGGCAGGCTCTTGTGGGTTCAGAGAAAGATAGATGTCATGTCTTTAGTGAGCACTGAATGAGACCATACTACAGCAAACTGTAAAAGGTTGTTGTTTTATCTCTAAATGAGACTGAGATCAGTGCACTGATAAATATGTATTAAAATGCAAACAAAAGCTCTAAATGTGTACATATTTGATTTACAGCAATGCCTTTTTATTTTTTTTTTATGTTTTACCAAATGTACAGTTTGTCACCAGTAAATATTCTGGGAAATCTCCACAGCAGGAACACAGACATTAAAGCCCAACTCTGGGCAAAAAAAAAATAATGAACAGTGTATACTAAATGACTTTTTACTGGGTGGATTTCGCAAATACCTGTCAGGGCAGGGGCTGAGGAACGGACAGGCAGGCCTAACAATGTAACGCACTGGCTGACGACAACCACTACCCACAGACCGAAGTCCCTCAGGGCGCGGAGTCTAAGTCCCAGGCTGCCCTTCACCAGGGCCCCTGATGGTGGGGATGGACTTGACGCAGCCAGGAACCAGGTCGCGGCCCCCGAGACACCTCAGCTGCGGTAATGGCCACCGCCAATGGCGTGTAGCTGGTGGAAGAGACAAAAGAGTAGTCAGACAAGCCGGGTCAACAACAACAGGACAAAACAGTACAGGACAGCAGACGAGAATCACAGGTCACAAGCCGGGTTCAGCAACAGAGGGTCAGATCAAGGGAGAATACAAAGAATAGTCAAGTCACAAGCCGAATCAGATACCAGGAGAGTCACGAGAGTCAGAACAGAGTAATAGCAACACAAGACACAAGACACAAGTGCAAAGAGCATGTGCGGGCCACAGGCTTATATGTCATCAGCCACACCCCTCTGGGGGATGGACCACAGAGACCTGAAGGCATAAAAGGATTCCCATCATGCACAGCAGAAT